CACCAATCTCTTTCTAAGAGTCATTATTACAAAAGAGGCCTCAGGCAGATCAATGAAGTTCTCAAGATGGCTCCAGAAGGACTTGGATTAAGTGTTCATGAGCTAGTGGCTCTATTTTTTAACAGAGTTTAGGTAGCAAAACATTATAGTGCAGTCTCGGTAGTAGTAAAATTGCTCTAATGTGATGAGTTGTACTATAGTATACAATCACGTGGTGCCTACAAAAAAAAAAAAAAAAAGAAAAGCCATACAAAAATTATAAAATGATTGAATAGAGAAAATAAAGAGCAAGACTTTCAGTCAGTTATACAGAGAGTCACTGAGAAAAAGCTGGTTTGATATCAGTCACTAACACCAGTCTTCCTGAGGTTTCTTCAAAATTAAAATAAGGTGTTTCAGGCCAGGAGAGCTTCACAAACATGCCCAGTGATGATGTTTTATGCACTCTTTGCACTGTGCTGGGTGCATGGGCATTAACAGACCCCACACAGTGCTGAAAGTGAACAGTTTGTTCACTTTGCCTCACCAAAGTGCTGCAGTAGGCTCTCATTCGCAGAAGGCAGCTGGTGATACAGAGGTGTCTGCAAGGGAGGCAGTTCCCAAAGTGAATTGCTCTGTGCTTTGCCTTACATAAGCCATTCCCAGTGCTTAGGCAGTGCCAGGTGGACACATCTGCCCTTTAGACTTGTGTTTCTTTCCCCTTCTATGTGGCCAGAGCTGCAACCTGAGCAGAGGGATGAAGGGGGATGGACTGACCCTTTTTCTGGCCTGTTGGAGGCTGTGATTGTCTAGCTCAGAAGTGAAAAGACAGTTCTCTGCAGTGAGTTCCCTTATTTCAGTACAAGTGTTTGCAACTCTGCCACCTAACTACAGAGCAACTTAAAGGCTAATGCTATTTAGAAAATTAATTCTTTTTAAATTTAATTATCTATAAGGAGGTATCTACAAAAACAAAAACAAACCCTGTTGGTTTTCATATAGTTTAGGGAGTTTAAGCAGTACATGCTGTCTTAGATACAAGGTTTATAAAGCTTTATAAACTTCGTTTGTAAGCTATTATTGAACTGTGTTTCAGTAATGCAATGTAGTATCATAGCTAGAAAGGAAATAAACAGCTTATTTTCTTGGCAGAATTATCATCAGCCTGATGGAGGAAAACCCTCTGTAGCTGCCTTTGTTACCATCATTGCTGCGCTTTCTCCCCAGGATATCCCGTTTGCTACACTCCCTCAGCAAGGTTTCTCACAGGGCTTTGGATGCAGGAACTTCATCTGGTTAAATGCTTTATACAGCACCTAACCAAATTATCTTCTTACCCTGAACAGTGCTACTGTGCTATAAGCACCTAATGAGAACAGAGCTTTGGTAGCATTAATCTGGTGCACTCATCCGCAATTTTGTAGGAATTGCTCTGCATTGGCAATGGGCAGCTCAGTTGGACTCTTTCATTGTGCCTTTTATGGCGTGACCTGATGGTTTTGGACTTATTTCTACGAAATTTGGACAGCCGTGATTCCTGCTTACATCAGCAGGAGAAGAGAGCATGTGGCTCCTGGCAGTAATTTCTGCACTGCCCAGAAATTAGCTTCAAGAGCCTCCAAATTGTCATTAAAATTTGATTGTTTCCCTTCACATGTGCACATCCGCCCATGGAAAATCACCTATTGTGTCGCTTCTGCCCCTCTCCCTGGAGTGTTACCAGGAGGTGAGCTATGACGGGGATGAGAAGGTTGCAGCCCTAATGGGGTCCAAAAGTACAGAGGCAAGAAAATGAGCTCAGCTTCCTGTCCCAAAGTCAAGTGGTAATTTCTGTGGTTCTGATGCTGAAATACGCAGCAACACAAGTGTAGGATTTCATTGCTAAGATTTACATGTTTGTTCTGCTTCTCTGCTTCTGTCTTGGCTACCATGTAAGTATTTATTATATTTTATTTTATTACTTTGTTGCTTTACTCTATGGCCACTATTTCATGAAACAAAATGCAACTTCTCTCTCCCTACCTCCCCCCACCCCCCCCCCCTCGCCCTTTTTTGATTAAAAGTTGCAAATGAGGTCCCTATTTGGTATAAGCTGGTATGCCTCCACTGATTTCAGTAGAGCTCTGTCAGCTTTCTCCAGCTGTATGCTTGGTCTGTATTGTGGCTCTGACCAGCTAATTACTTCAACATAAGATGGTATTTTTGTGTAGTCAGTAATAAAATATAAGGTTCTGACTGGGGTTAGGCAGTTAAGTGTAAATAAGTGCATTAGTCTGTAGAATATGATCTTTTACTGCTATTCTCACCATTTTCTGTCATAAACAACAAAATTAAAACTGGTGTCTTCCCTTTCCCACTAGCTTCTATGTTGGCTGCTAAAGGCCCGCAGGTGTAAAACAATGTGTTCAGTATCAGCGCATTTCACTTATGTCCCTAGAAATGAGCATCTTTAATGTTCCAAATGAGCTAAATTACAGGGGAACACTTCCAGCTAGCATTCCAGGGCTGTGAGGGCATCCCAGGAGCCTGTGGTCTGACAGGCTTTGTAATGCTGAACCACGGCTGAGAAAGGCCTCCCTATGCATTGTGTATACCATTTTCTACCCACATCATTGAAAGCAAGGCTTTTTCTGCATGCCTGAGGAGGTACTTGGGATTCTGAAAAGCCAGAAAACTTGTTGAACTTTTGAGGTTAGGTTCTGAAAATGGGCTGCTAGCAGGGAGTAGATGGAGCTGGGGTCCTTCAGGTGAAAATTATTAAAGATTCATTATTGACTTATTCATCTTCCAACTTGACACGCCATGTGCCTCCCATATATGAAGCCCTATAATCTCAGGGAAGATTTAGTTCATACAGTGTTGGATTTCCATAATGGAGTCAGAGGTACTTTCTTCTCGACTGCAGTAGTATCAGTCCCTCTGTCTTCATATGAAAAATAGCAGTTAGAGAAATCAGATTCAGGGATGAAGGGTTTCATGTTCCCTCTTCTTCTAGTCTGTAAACTATTCCTTGAATAGGCATCTTCTGCCCTTCCTTTCAAAACTCCACCATTAGCTTTTAAGCTTATTCAAGCCAAAGCAGAGGAGCAGCAGGAAGCATGACTGCAGCCTCCTGTGAGAACACCGTATCACATGGGGTAATCCCGGGTCTCCGGCTTTCAATCCTTCTGTAGCACTCATATGTTAAGAATAAAATATGTTGATGGACTTTTGAGCATTCCTGAGGAATGTTCTGGATCATAGATAGAGTCTATCTGCCATTAAACATAATATCTTCTTGGCAGCCATTCTTCCTCTGCAGCCCTTGCCTTCAAGATCTGTTCTGGAGAGGCATTTTAGAAATCTTGTAATGAGACCTCATATACAGAGGGATCAGGCTCATTACAGACTGTTCCACCCTGCACTTGTATCTTGTATGTACTTTGCACACACTGCATGTGGAAGGGCTCAAACATTTTTACTTTAAATAATTGTGTTAGCAGTTGCACAGTGTTTGTGCTTTCACAAAATGCAGTTTGTCACTAATGTTTAAAAGAGCAGAAATGAGACATGGTTCTGGCCTTGGTTCAGATGAAGTCAGCCCTGCACTGCGGCTTGTCTGTCAAGAACATCAAGGAAGCCACTGAGCATCGTAGAATTTCTCTGTTGTCTACATCAGGCAAGCCAGAGCCTCACTTCTTTGTCACCTTCTTTATTCAGTTAGTTCAAATTCCTCCAATACTTGGCCCAAGCATTGTTAGAAGCCAGACTGCGGAAGTCAGGTGAGCTTTTTTTTTTTTTCTGTGAGGACTTGGATCCGACTTAATTAAGTGGGGACCTCACCCTGATTCTGATCTCTGATAAAATCACTTTTCAATATTGCATTATTGCTAGTGTGTGAACTGAATGTCTACACTGATACTTAGTAGTTAAGCCAAACACAAGTTCTTTGTTTTTTCTTCTGACTTGTAAGTATGTTATGTTTAACAGACATGAGTAACCCATGTGGGATATCTTTCACACAGAGTAAAACCAATGTAAATTCACATGACTCAGGGATTTGTTTCAGTGCTCATGTATAAACTCTCATTAGAAATGATTATGCTTGAAGATCAAAAGAAAAGTACACTCGCTTGTATTAATGTTTAATGCATAATTCACATTGTTAGAACAAAAAACAAAACAGTCAGTGGTTGTTATGACAAATATTAAACATCAGCGCTACTAACCAATTCCCAGAGAGGATCCTTCATTTCTCTGCAATAGCCATATGCTGAGGTTTCCTCTTTTTTCTCTTGTGTTGTTTTCTCCAAGAGCTCTCAGTTTCACAGACCTGTTCCTTGCTGGATCAGCAGTCCCCTGTCCCAGCAGGAGCAGGGCAGATCCTGGACACCCTCTCACTGCAGGTGGCTCCTGCTTTTAGAGTGCTCCTAGTGGCAGCAGTGTAAAGCAATCTAATCCAGCTGTTGACATGATAATGATTTTAGACATGCTCCTGCATGGTCCCCAAGCCTTGCTTGCCTTCAATCTCAGTCCACTTTCAGCCTTACTATCAAGACTAGGCCCATGGCCAATGTTACACTACAACAGGATTCAAAAACTTGGTTTTTTTTTATCATGATTATCTGTGTTTTTATCTTCTTCACTCAATGCTTACTTTCTTATCAGAAAGCTTTGTACTTAAATAAGCAGACTTAGCATGAAGGAGACATATGTGAAATCCATTCCCTGTATCCTTCAGCCAAAGCCCAGCACAGCAGAGTAAAGCCATGCTCATAATCACAACTGGAGCTTAAGAATGAGAACTGTTTGTAGCTTGGTTGATTGATACATGGGATAGCAGGGTGACTTCATCTACACATGGGAAGATCCTTGGGTACCTCTGCCTTTTACAAATAGTAAGGTTTTTTTCTTCATATTTTCATAGTTTTTATTGGCTTTTCCCATGTCAGTGTTTCAAGGTTAGTAATTTGTACCATCTAGCCTTTATATTTATTTTTCTCTTCAAAATTTATTTGATTTACTACCTGAGCTTACATCTGTTTGGTTTTTTTTTTCCTTATTTCCCTCTCCCACCTTCAGCTTCCCCCCTTTTTTTTTGAGGTTAAAGTTTGTAATTCAGGTCAGAGTCACCTCTCTTTGCAGGGAGGTGTGTGGTACAGAATAAGACAGAATAACGTTTGAAGATCCTTCTGCTCGGCACAAGGCTGAAAAGAAAAAAATCCTTTCTCATTATCATTTCAATAACTTTCCTATGAACCAGCAGTGATAGAACACAGCTGATTCTGAGCCCTCCTGCATCTGTTCAGAGCAGAGTAATTGCTTGAGACTACAGTAGGTTGTTCCTGATTCAGGTCTCTGTAAGCAAATGAAGAACTAGCTCCCTGTTCCTAAGGTACCTCCTGGAAAGCCCATTGTTTTGCAAGCCATCTTGTGCTAACCTGAGAGGTTCCTCATGCAGGAGCTAGAGGTATTGAATTATAACGGGTGCTTCATGCAGACACTACTGCTTTGAGCACTATGTAGTCAAAGGATAAGCAGATCATGGGGGTTCAAGAGGACATAGACCTTTGGCTTTTGTTTTCCTTTTGTTAACAGCCTACTCAAAATATTTACAATTTAGAACTTGATATTTTCTGCAGTAGAGGGCCAACTGTCTGCTTCAAACAGCTGAGAATGTACTCAGACTATATGTTGTGTAAATTGTTTATTTATCTTGTGGAGTGCACATGGAAGCACTGTCCTTGAATTGATCATAAGCACATGGCTGTTGTACAGTTTCTGCTAAGAAAGAAAACTTGTAATGAATTAAATATGCCTCACAAGGAAAGAAGTAGGTCAAATGTTGGGCTAAATTAACTTTATGTTATACAGAAAGGCTATGTACAGTGTGTTGTTTTCAGGTGTGCGATTTTGGACTTGTCTACACACAAAATTATTCCAAAACAGTTATTAGCTACACTGCAGTAATTACCCTTAACCAAAACCATATGTAGTCAAATATCATGCCAGCATAAGAGTTCACGTTTTTGAATTCGCCTAATCCACTTTAGAAGTGGATTAAGTGAAACCAGGAAGAAGCTCTGTCATTCCAGAATGAACGAGCCACCTGCACATGGTTCTGTTTTACATCCATCCACTACCTCATTCCAGCACAATTTTCCCGGGTTGAGTGGCTCTTAAGATATATCTACATAGCAAATGAATGTGTGATTATAGACATACCAGCCTTTCCTTTACTCTCGCTGGTGTGAGTAACAGCAGTAATGAAAGATGGTGGCAAAGACCTCAGTGCAGCCCATTAACTGGGACTTACACACAGGAACCCTTATGGTTGTGAGCAACCTCTGCTGCAACACATCTCGTCATGCCCTCGCTTCAGACACAGCTCACATCCCCGTGCTAATGCTGGGATGGGAATGTTTCCCTGCACCTCCAGTGCATACGTGCACCAAATACTACATATGTGATAGGACTGTGCAGCTGAACTAAGTGGAAAACTGGGCGACTGACTTCAGAGGTTAATCACATGAAGGAGACGCATGGCTCATATGTTTTTAATATACACACCTTTGACAGCCAAATGAAGTGTTGGCTCTGTGGCTGCATAGGCCAAATTAAATATGCTGTAGACAAGCACAACTGTGTTGATTTCACTAGGGCTGAATTGGCTCCATAGGCAAGTTCATGCTTATTTGACTAATACTTGTTTTGTTACCTATCTGCTCACTTCTTTTAATGAAGTTAATGCATTTCAATATTCCTTTCAATGCATTCCAAAACCAGCAATTTGATTAACTAATTCCCTTTTAAAAGCACAACAATCACAACTAAAATCTCTCTCTTAGGAAGAGGTATGGAACAACTGCGCAGAGCATCTTGGGTAGCTATGCCATAACTTACATCTCTTTAAAGAAACTTCCCACATCAATCAGAAGAGCCTCACTGAAAAATAAATGGCAAAATACAGACAACAATCAAGCTGCACAAAGTGCTTTTTAAGACTACCAAAACCAGTGTATCAGTAATGTACCCTGTGCTCTCCAGTGCACTGTTGAAACAGTATACTTAAGACAAATAAAAACTTCTACGTCTAAATGCCGCTCAAAACAATTCTGAAACAGAAACACTATACAAATTTGTCTTTATAGACAAGACAGAAAGCACCTCGAGTAGCTTGTGTTAAAAATAAGTACTTTTTCAATTTCATTCTCCTTAAAGCAGTGCTTGGACTTCGCTGTATTCTGAGAATTTATTTTTTCCTCCCAGTTAAAGAGCAAAGACTTCACCAAAATAAGGCACTGTTCCAGAGTACTAATACAGCAGCAGCACAGCAGCATGCTAGATTCTCCCTGGCTTCATCTTCTTAAAAAACTGGAAGAGCAAAACCTGATTAGTAACAATATTAAGCAAAGACCATGTTCTCTTTTATTGTATTTAAATGAGGAAAATGAAAGCGTTAATGCTAATATAGAAGCTGCAACAATAATTTAGTTTCAGCCCTGTGCTGCTTCAGCTTTTCAGCTTCTCTGTGAACTGTTGCACTAGCTACACGTACACGGTGAGCTGTTGTCAGAACAGGCAGTAGAAAATGCAGTGTGGGATGGGGCACTTGACTTTGGGCCTTACTGAGAGCTTTGGTCAGTGTGCAGGTGCTGCAGTGAGTTGGCAGTTTGAGATATTAAAAGTGTATGTGTGCAATCTTTGGCTGAAAGGGCACAGTGGTCTGTGCCACTATGGATACCTGAAAGTGAGGCCTAGCACTGGAAATAACTCTGTTCAGGAAGGAATGCACGCAACTAAAAGGTCCCTGCCCCCATGTGTACTTACACTGAGGGACATGGGTTAGCGGGCATGATGGTGATGGGTTGGTGGTTGGTCTAGATGACCTTAATGGCCTTTTCCAATCTCAACGATTCTATGGTCTTCCTTTTAGGAGCACAAATGCCAAGGAAAGCAAGCCAACCCCAGTACCAACTCCTACCCCTGCTCACAACAACACCCAGTCACACAGGTTGACCTGGCAGCTGCAGCCCTTGTCACCACATGCTGGTCACCCACAACCCAGCCCGGCCCAGCACCTGCCAGCCTCCACACAACAGCCTGGTGGCCCACGGGCAGCCTGTATGGGCCTGCGTTCCCCATGTCCCCCACGTTCCCTTGCGATACGGCGTGCTTTTTCCCCCAGTCCCATTCCCTGCAGGGATATAGCGGGGCCCTGCTCTGCGCGTGGCGCGCTGTCCCATCCGCCGCATCCGGGTGGCACCCTCTCCCATCCCCCCTCCCCGCCTGTTTTCCGTGATTTTTTTTTTCTTTCTTTTCTTTCGGTTTTTTTTTTTTTTTTTTCCTCCTTTTTGCGTGTGCTTCCCTCCTCCAGGTGGGACCCGGCGGTGACCAGCGCGGCTCGCCCGGCGCCCAGCATCAACCTGAAGGTAAAATGAAAGACAAAAAGATGAACGCATGCCTGCTCCCCCGCGCCCGCCACCATCGCGGCCGGCAGCCCCCGCCGCGCGCCGGATTTCCTGTTTCGGCTTTTTTTCCCCCCTTCGTTTCGCTTAAAAACGCATGCAGAGAAACGCGCACGTACCCGGTACCGAGCCCAGGGGGAAAAAAATGAAATAAAATACATAACCCGGCCGCTTCCCCCTGCCGCTGCCAAGTTATCATTGAGAAAACAGACAGGCGGCGTGACGTCCCGGGTCAGGCCGAGTGCGGACCGGCGCTACCAAGGCGGCAGGGAGGCCCGGAGCCGCCGCCGGGGCCGGGGCCGCGGGGCCGGGGCCGCCGCCGCCTTCCTTCTGCAGCCCTCGCGCCCGCCGGGGCCGCGCCAGCCGCCGCCGCCGCCCCCCGCGCCCCCCGCCCCACAGCAGCGGCGCCGCTCGGCCTGCGCCCGCCGGCGGCTCCCCCCTCTCCGACGGAGGTCGGGGGAGCCCGGGGAAAGGAGGCGTGCGTAAAGATTTTGCAATGTCCCTGCATGGTGTTGTAGACTTTCCTAGCAAAGAAACCGGCTTCGGCTTCTTTAAAATCCCCGACGACTCACCTGACTAGCCGGCCTGCGGCTCCGCGCTGACCAGGTAACGCGGGGCCCCCTCTCCACCCGCTGACATTGCGGCGGGGCGGGGGCGGTGCGGAGGCGAGCCGCGGCCAACCTCCCCCCCCTCCTCCGCCCCCAGCCCCGCACACTCACCCGCCGTCCCCCGGCCCGCCCGGTCATCGGCAATTAGCGAGGGGGGTGAGGGGGGTGCGATTTTTTTCTCTTTCTTTCCGCTAACCACGCAGTTCTGCCCTCCCCCCCCTTCACGGGGTCAGGAGTGCCGGGGAAGTGACTGAGGCACTGTGAGAGTTCGGGGTCCCGGGGTGACTGCTACTTTAACGCGGGGGGTCTTCCCCCTCGGGAAAGCTCCGTCCCGAAGCCGAGCGGGAGCCGCCGGGCCTGGCCGGACCCTGCCGGGCTGAAGTGGGGGGAGGGACGCAAGGGCACACGTGCGGGTAGAGAGCGGGGGGGAGGGACGCCGTTGCGTGCCCCGGGCCTGGGGCTGTGTTGTGAGGAGGGGAGAAGCGGTGCCGGGCAGCATTCGGAGCGTCCGTGGAGTTCAGGCGCTTTGGGTTGCGCGTGGGAGGCGGCTGCGATGGGGGAGGCGGTAGGAAGGAGCCGAGTGCGAGTGAAGGTGAATGGCACAGGGCAGGCGGCCCGGCCCCCCGCTCCTCTCTGTTGCTCGGGGTGACCCCGAGCCTCAAAGTGCCGTTGCGGCCGCGGGATGCAGCTGGGGGAGGTGAGAACCCGAACGCCCTTTTGCCTGAAAGCACCGAAGTTTTAAGCATGTAGCAGCAGCCCTGTCTGAGATACAGAGTGTAAAACTTATCTGATACGTGTTTCCCCCTGCTCTCGAGCACAGAATGTTCCCGTGCCGCACACGTTGCATGCGGCCGCGGTGAGGACGGGAGCACTTTGCGGTATAACCTACATTAGCTTATAGATGGTGCGCTGAGCGTGTACCAGGGCTGAGCGTGGAGAATTACCCTGTAGGGCCGTGTCCCTGCTGCTGGGGGGCACCGAGGTGACCCTGGGGCCGGGGGCTCCTGCAGGCTGCCCATGCTCCTCTCCAGCACCTTCCAGTTCAGATGTGTGGGGGGCAGGAGAAAACAAACATGGCATTCAGCATGCTCATTATCAAAATAAGGCAAACAAATCGATTGCATTAATGGTATTGCAGTCATCCCATACCTTTTTTTTTTTTTTTTCTTTTTTTTGAAATTATTATTATTATTTCCCCCAGAAATTAAAAGGTTACTGCTGGAGTGCTGTGTTCCTATCTCAAACCTAGCACCACTTATTACTGCAACGGTATTTCAATATTAAGTGATCTTGGAGATGATTTCATCTTTCATTTTGAATCCTGAATTTGAATCAGCATTAGAATGTCAGGGCTGCGAGATAAGGTGGGACGAACTAAGTAGACAGCTGAAGGGCTGCGCTGAAGGTGCTGCGGGAAGGAGATCTGGGGCCGTTCACAGTAACCTTGTTTACGGGGACGATTCAATAGCAACCTGAATTTCAGCACGAGGCTGCCTGGACTAATGCCTGTGCGCTTGAAGCTGATCACGAGTGTCTTTTGCACTCTAAACCTTTTCTCTCCCCCATGTTATGTACTCGCAAAAACTTTTCTGGAAGGTTATTATGATTTTCCAAGATGAAAATTAAGTTGTTTTCCTAAAAGGATCACCCGATCTTTGAGCTGCTGTGCATTAGCAACAAAATATTCATGAGGTCTGATTTTATTTATTTATTTATTTATTTATTTCCTCACTGTTGTGTCGGGGTCAGTAGTCACACTGCACCTTTTAACTTTACGTCTATGGCTTTGATTAATTATATTTAAGTCTTGGAGGTTTTGAGTGTATTTTACAGCCCGTGAAGCCAGTTCGAGTCAGACTGTGAAAAGATGCATGTTGTATTGAGGAACAGCCCCGTAGTGGTCTGCTCCGTTTTTGTTTTCTTTTCTTAAAGCTGTTCCAGGAAAATCACGTGCAAGGAGAGAGTGGGTGCTAAATGCCAGCAGCCACATTAATGAAGAAAAAATGCTGTTGAAATACTTTGGAATAATAAATAGGATATGTAATGGTCAACCACAAGATAAAAATTTTACACAGTGTTTTTATGGCTCTAAATTGGCTGCGTTGTAAACCAAGCTTACTACTCTATTAAGTCATCATACTTTTCAATTATTTAAGATTTCTAGCCGAGCTATCTAATATCGTCTTCATTGTGCGTATCAGAAAATTATTTATACGGCTGTTAGTCTGTGAAGGCTGTGTTGCAGATGGGGGTTTAATTTTGGCTTATCAGGACAAATATTACGAAGCACGCACATGGCAAAATGATATGGAAATAGTCCCAGTCCTGCGGAATGGGGATAGTTACAGCACTGAAATGTACCTAATACAATTTGAGATCCACTCACTGAGAAACCTTGACAGTATCTGCCTTCCAGGTAGTGTGCATTTGGAAATACTATATCTCCATTTAAATGCAGATCTTCAGTTTTCTCCAGGGGGCAGTTGGCGAATCTTTCGATTGAACCACCAGTACTAGAAAAACTAACTGCAGATTTACTCGTGAACAAGAGACTCTTTCAAGTCTGCCTGTTTGAAATAATGCTTTTAAAATTTCCTAATATTGAAGTTTTAGATTGATTTTTAAATGCCTTTTCAGAAGTCGCACAAAAGGAATGTTGTCTTCACTCCAAGTAGTTCAATGTTTGCACACTTATTTAGCAATCTTAAGAGAGATAGCATTACAAGCCAGTTCTTTGTTTTTGCATTGGTATTGTGTATGCTTGTGAGTTTTGTCAAGTGGACAGAGCAGTCTTGCTTTGATTTTGACCTAGATTCCTCTGGATTCTTCCTATATGGACAGTACCTGCTTATTTCCTGCTGTGAAAATAGGAGAACAACTGTTGATGCTATCTAGCTGGGGCTGTTTGGGCACATCCAGTAAACCCCCCTCCTCCTTGAAGACCTCATTACTAATGGGTATGGTAGTGCTCTATTTAAGGGGGTGCATGTGAGTATTTTCTCTCGTGAGTTTTCAATCCCTGAGGGTTTGACTCAAAGAAAGACAGAAAAAATGGGTGCAGTGAATGAGTTTATTTCGCTTTCCATATTGGGCATGTGCATTTTGCATTCTTGCACTGATGATCAGAGCCATGCTCTATTTGAAACGAGTCTCGAATCCATCTTATCCTGTATTTGCTCTAAACTGGGTGCCAGTAGGAGTCAGACCTGCTGGAGAGGTATGTCCCACCCAGCCTGGGTCCCAAGCTGTTCGCATTGCAACCTAGCCCTGGGATGTAGGGAAAGGAAGCTGTCTCTTGGGATGAAGGCAGCACAAGGACCTGGTGCAGGAAGGCAAAAGGTCCTGACATTTTCTGAGTCAGGCGCTCCTGCCTGCTCAGATGGGAAAACCACCCCACCACAGGAAGGATGCTGCCTTCGCCCCCTGTGCTGGGTTGTGGAGTTGAAACCCTTATTGTACATTCCTGTTGATGGCACACAGCTCATTCTCTCCAATACTCAGGGTGAATGCTCTCTTCAACATTTTCATGGAGTTCAGACAGGCCTGGAGAGTCAAATCTTATGTGCGCCGGCACTGACAGCACAGGTGCTATTCAGCTTTGTTGATGTTGCTAGCAGCACTGGCAGATGTGTGTTCTTAGTGGAAGCTTCAGTGGAATGGACTTCTTAAAGGAATGTTCTGCATACTGGGGTTGAATGGAAAGCCAAGCCTGACACTTTAGCTTAGTGCCTTTTTCATTCTGTTGAAATCAACTGGATTTCTTCATGCAACTGCTTCACACGTGTGTGCCTGTGTCAGCGTGCTGATCGGTGGGGATATTCCTGTGCTGAAAACCTTGTCCTGAGTCAAGTCTGGGCATGCATGCTGCTGTATGTGCATATACAGGCTGAGCAGGGCCCATCCTTTGTAACACGATTTCTGCTTTTAATATCTGAATAAGATCTCTTATTGTAACTCAGCCATTAGGGGAAAAGGAAATGGAACTTTTCTCAAACAGCTTTTCTGTTGGGGAATCTTGTGGCAGTTGCTTTGAAGCATGTGTAATTGATTATCATACATTTATTTTAAAAAGGAGACATAACAAGGAATCGAACATGATGTTTTGGAATATATCTTCTCCCCACAATGTTCTTGAGGGAAATGTAAGGTTGCAGGCATCATTTCATGCCCTGTATGTTTTTGAACATAAATCAAAGAAATTGTAGGAGAGTTATAGATGTTCATAGCAACTGTAGCTATAATAAACACATGCAGTATATATTTTCCAAGCTATTTTGTATGGGTGAAAGGCTGAAGCTGGCGTTTTGTACGAACAATTCAACTTAATCACTGAAAATTTATTTCCTAGTTAGCGTGGATTACCAGCCTAGCATGAAGCCGTACACCTTGGCTTAAGCGCATCTGTGATGGAAGCTTTGGTTAAAATTGGGAAAGGATTTAAATTGTGATCTAGACACCTTGAATGAATTATTCCGAACGTCTCATTTATTGTGATGCCTCCGTGGCAATATTTACATCTATGTTATTGTTTATAATGGCTTCAAAATATACTGATTACTTTAGGGAGCAAATAAAAGGCAAGAATGTTACGGAAAACAAATGGATAAAGAATAACTTTAATTGTACGCATAGCCATATTTTGTACTATATTAAATAGAACAGGAAGGAGAATCCTGACTGATCAGGTGCTGCAGAGCTGCAAGTGAGTACAACACTAAGCGTAAGCATACAAGTTTCTTGGTGACTGTATTTGGTTTTGTTTGAAATCTTTCATAGATGAAAAGGGACAAAATGCTGTGGTGGAAGAATTTCCATGAGAAGAGTGAGTAGATTTGATGAGTCCTTCAACTCATCAAGTTAAGGAAGGTTTCCCTTATGGGGAAACCTTATCCTTCCCTTAAGGATCCAAATTAATTGGATTAAAATGTTAAAAAGAAAATAGAGTAGTCATTGTTAATGTCTATATGGACAGACTGGGGATGCATGCAGAAATTAGGC